ATTCAACTTAGTAAAAAAACACCTGTTCTTAAAAATGAAGAAAAAAGAAAAAACATATTTACACTTTCAAAATACATCTTCACATAGTCTCTACCTCCTTCCTTCTTCTTCATCTTCACAAATACTTTCAACTACTATCACTATTTTCAACGGCACATGAGATTTCGCCAGTTGGCGAAACGGCACACGACATTTCGCCAGTTGGCGAAACGGCACATGACATTTCGCCATGGCGAATTGTCTTTTGGCGAATCGTCTTTTGGCGAAACGATTTTTTACCGATATGATTAATGTTAACCGCTAGGCGTGATTATAAGAGCGAAAAAATCTAAAAGCATATTTTTGTTAATAAGTTTTCGATAAACCCTTTTTGGAAAACCTCAGGGTTTTTCTACAATTTATTTCGAAATCTCCTATAAACAGGATATAGAATAGCTTAAGTACTCTACATTCTGAAGTTTTGAGCCTGTTCTGATGTTTCTTGAGTGAATAGTGAATTTTTTAATATTAGGCGAAAACAGCCTGAAAACCCTAATTTTCGTAAAACTGGCTTTTCGAGAGATTCTTAAAACTTTTTCTAAAAACAAATATTACCGAGAGACTCAGCATGGTCGATTACCCATATTCCATCCGTTTTTAAGGCTACCAAGAGTCACCTGGTGCCAGTCCTGGGACTCGTCGGAAATCCGATAGAACGCCCAAATCGAACAAAATCAAGGTCTCACTTTACCTCTCTGGGGTGTTTTGAAGAGAACACCCCATGCTATCAGCGCATGAAAAAAAGCCAATACATTGCAATGTGAATTTCGGCAAATCCAAGCTAGTTTTTCAAAGATTTTCTGAAAAACTCGGCTCAGAAGTTTTTCCAAAATTCGCTTTAGCTCAAAGGAATATGTGGTCAGGTATCTAGTTTTTAAAAATGAAAATCGCAAGTCTCTGTCTATGTTATTCAAAAAACATCCACGTGCCTTGACTTCTGGAACTGATAATAGTAAGCTATTCATATTTATATTGTTTCTTAAAAATACTTTTCCCTTATGATATTTTGCTCTAAATTTGGCAATATCAATGACAAGTCGAACAGAAAGAAGTTAAGTTTTTACAGTTTTTCCACGTGTTCAAGTCAGTCTTTGAAACAACTTCAGAATGACCGATAATAGTAAGAGAAAAAAACACAAAATAAACAAACTGATTCGGTACTCAAATCCTAGTTTGTTTTAATATTTACGCTAACCATCGTTTCTCAATGTTTTAAATTGTGTCTGTAAACAAAAGTGAGATGATATTTTTCACCAATTGTTCATAGTGACTCTCTAGATGATTTTAATAACTCTTTCCTTCATCTGCTCAAAATAAGACTATAGCAAAGTTTAAGTTATTTTGAATGACAGCGATGATATTTTCTTCTCATCGTGTTTAGATATTAGTGTAGGTTATTTCTATTTGAAAGTCAAAGAATATATGAAAAAATTGAATTTATTTAAATTGATTCCACCAGCTGATGATGAACATGAAATAAAGAATGAATCAGTATCTACACATTTATTTATTTTATTATTGTTTATATCTGTTGTTATACTGTTTTCATATACATCATTAAGTAATGTAACACAAACTGGAACGATTAAACAACCAAATACTGAACAATATTTAGACTTGTATGACAAATATCCTCACATCTTATCGTGTCCATGTTCAACGATATCAATTCTATACAATCAATTTATTCATTTACAACCAACATATCAAATATGTTCATGCTGATTTTGTTAAACGACAATGATTCGACTATATTTATAATTCATGGTACCAATACTTCTATGACCAGTGGTACTTTTTCTGGTTACGGTAGTCGATCATTCGAAATGTTGTCCTCACTTTGTCAATTAATTAATTCTGCTATTAATAATGAACTAAACATATTTGATTCAAATGTTTATGTTAGTTCAACGGTGGCATCAAAAAATTTAGTTGAAACACAAATTAATTCATCGATTAATTTGTTTATAATGACAACAGCGAATCAATTTACAACGTCATTAGAAATAATACGTGATATAACAAATGGTAATGCGCTCGTATCAGGTGAATGGACAAACTTTAATTTTTGGTACGATACTTCGCTTCAAATGACAACGGCATTCTCATCGGCATATTCTATTGTTGATGGTGAACCTTGTCTTTGTTCATCTTCTGTGTTATGTAAAGATGACTGTCAACTTTTCAATTTTATCACAGAGGAAATACTATATCTTATACCCGGATTTTATCATGGTTGTTTTGTTGTTCAAACATTATTACAATAGTCATTAGAATGTTTATATAACCAAACGTGTTTTGAAGAAATCATACGATATATAAATTCATCTAGAACAATAAATAAAACAATACTTACGTTAGTTCAATAAATGGTGTCGATAGTCAATAGTCACTCAACACATCGATTCAAGATCTAGTTCAAAACTTAATGGTTGAAAAATGGTTAAGAAATATTTCTTTTGATCGATATTATTTAATATGTCATCCAAAAGTATGTTATTATACAGATATAGAAAAGTTTGCTTTACTTTATATTGTAACAACTATATTTGGTATTATTGGAGGACTTAACAAAGTATTGAAATTTTGTATGCCACATATTGTTAAAGGTGTAAGAAATTTTTTAGTGCCATGGATACAAAAGACACATGTACGAAGACAACAAATTGTTCCAATTAATATTAATAATCACGTAAATTTGAAGTGAGTTTTAAATTTAGTTATACTCTTAAATCTAACAAAATTACTCTCCTTATTTTTTGATAGTTATCGTTGAGTAGTGTGAGAAAGAAAAAGTACAAAAATTGTTACAATTACTGTTGGTATTTTTATTGGACTTTGTATTCTCATTAGTATACCAGTAACAATGATGAATAGAAATACAATTTCAGGTCAATATGGAACAACCACAACAATCGGTAAATGTTCTATTGAGACTGTCATAAATAAGAACTTACTCCGTTTTATATTCGATCTTTAAATCTATATATCATTTCATTCAGAAGCTGTTGGCTGAAATGTTCTGTTATACTATTTTTATCAGCTCTACGTAAAAGTCTTTATTACTACATATATCGAGGTCGCTGCTGTTAGTAGACTGTGTTGGACGTAATCCTTTGATTATGAGAAAGAAATGAGGTATGCAAGTAGTCTGAAATATCTTCAAAAGTATAGTATTCTGTTATCAGTATCATATTGCAACGCAGTAATGCCAGTAAAAAAATACCAACAATCTTCGCAGTATGCCAAAAATAATATTTGCAGACACTTCACTAAACGCAGTTTTTGACGCTGAGCATGATTATGACGTTAGTTTCTGATGGAAAAGCTTCTTTTTGGTTGAAAATCGGGTTTTGATGCTCAAAAACCGGTTTTCCTTCGGAACCTAAAAGTCTCAAATCTCTCTTTTCATACCACAGTAACTACTCGACTATATGGTAATCCAAAAAATGTTTGGATCCATAATGTTTGAATGATATCCAAAAAATGTTTGTCCTCCCGTGCAGAAAAGATATTTCAAGAATAACTCTAAAATCCAATTAAACACTTTCCTATATCACGACATTCCTTTAAATCATTTAATTTTTGCTTGAAAAGAGCAAAGGATAAGGCTTTTAGCAATGAAAGTAGTAGACGAGGTTAGGTCAAGTTGGTTAGTCAAGGGTCAGGTGAATTGAACGTTACTTGCTTGCTTACACTCATTGCACTGCGGTATGAAATGAGTTTTATTACTTTTTTCAAGCATTTAAAACATTTTCTTCCATTAAAGCAAGTGAATTTGTCATCTAATGCAAATCTTAAAAGTTTTCTCGAGATGATCCAAAGGTGTAAAAATACTTCTGAATTCAAGAAAACGGTCACGCCTCCCTTCGATCGGCGTTTGCAACCAGCATAGCTAAGAAATGTTTTGAACTCCTCTGCTTCCACAAGAAAGGCGCACAATGTAATATAAAGCTAAACTCCAGTTGAAACCCCCGACAGAATTCCCCGGACTCTCGTAGAGAGTCAGGCGGGACTTGTAAAGCGCTACTCGTGACTCACGCGGAAATTTTAAGGGACTTCGTCGGACTCCTATGAGACTACACAGTTTTCAAAGTCCT